GGGGTGCCGCTGTCCTCCAGTCGCCCAAGTTTCAAACCCAGGAGTCCTGTCTCCCTCACCACCTGCAAGGTGGGCTCCTGAACAGCAACCTGAACACAGCCCTACTTCCGCCTTTACTGCCTGTGAGCCACTCTTCATGAAAACAGACATGATCTCCACATGCACAGAATCAGATAACGTCAGAGATGCCTACCGTGGCCCCCCAGGCCTCCCATAACCCAGCCCCTGTCAGCCTGAGCTTCCCGCCACCTGAAACTGCTGTTCCCCACACAGATCTTCAAGAACCCTTTCCCACCTTTCCAATCCAAGTTATCTCCTCACCTCCCAGGGTTGCTCTCCGTCAATGGCCCCATTTCATTTCCTCACAGCACTAGTACTTGAAATGACCTTGTATATACACTTCCTTCCCTATTTGTTGACCTGTCACGACAGTGTAAGCTCGTTGTTCACAGAAAATGCCTCTCTGATTACTTTACAACAATGCCCAACAGGCAGCAAGCACTCCGTAATTAGTTTCTGAAGGAACATGAAAAAGAGGAGCAGCCAATGACGAGGCATGTGGTCATTATGTGCTACAAAATGTACTGATGAAAAATAAAAGTGGAGAAAAAAAGAAAAGGCCAGAAAAAATGTCCCAACCCACCACACCAAGGGCTGGAGTCAGAAGGATTGTTTTTAGATGCAGCTGACCTGTCCAGAGGGTAATGGGTTTAAGGGAGTGATCATCACGACTTACTACTACGTGCTGAATCAAAAGAAGAAGACACATGTGCCTGACCATTGGTTTCCTGGCCCCGGAGGCGGGCAGCAGATGTCGGAATGATAAGAAGAGGGACAGAGGAAACAGCTACCTCAGGAAGCCATGAGGCAGAACATCAGCCATCAGAGATTTCAACGAAACAACCCCAGCCGACGGGTGCAGAGGAGTTAGAACCCCTGACCCTGGGAATTGTGAGACATGGGAGAAGAGGGAACTTGCAAAGGTTTCATTTCACTTTTCTGGGTCTCTGAAGACTTCTGCCTTTTTACAACGGCAAGCGAAAGGACCAGGGGTGACTGTGCAACCACGACCATTACGGTGCACACCTACAATTCCCACTATTCAGGAGTCTGAGGCAGGAGGATCACAAGTTTGAGGACAGCCTGGACAATTTAGACTCTGTCTCAAAAAAATAAATCGGTTGCTTAAGGACTAGGAATGCAGATCAGCGGTAGAGCACTTGCCTAGCATGGGTAAGACCTTAGGTTTAATCCCCAGAGAGGGGTAGAAGGAAGAGAGAGAGGGAGAGGGAGAGGCAGGGGGGTGCGAGCGAGTTCTGGAGACATCAGGAGTGCCCAGCCAATGACATAAATGGGTCCTGTTACGAACATCTTCATCCCAGGGGTTACACGAGCAAGAATGCAGATGTGGTACACTCTGAAGAAGTTACAACACCCATCATAGGATACTCTCAGGAATGTAAATTTAATCATGCAGTGATGTAAATCCTACTGGAATAGTGCCAAATGACTTAACTACAAAGCATTATGTTGAAATGTGATTTCTGCTATTATTCGTCACCAGGGAACAATGGCACCCTGAGATAAGAAATTAGAAAGAACAGTTAATACTAATAAGAAAGGCATAATATCCAGCCCTTCTTAAGGCTGACTTCTCATCCAAACTTTCATTCATTCATTCAATATTTTAATGAGACATTCTCCTGAGTTAGGCAAAAAAGAAAATACCTCAGGGTATTTACAATTGACCAGGGTAGGAGAGCAAAGGCAGACGCTGGAAAATAAGGCGATCTTAACTAAGGCACAGGGGATGGCCAGGCAGTGTGCAGATGAAGGTTCCTTGATGCTCTCCTGAAGAAGTCAAGACTTGGAAGGATGGATGGACTCGTGTCAGCAGACAGCCCAGGGAAGACAGGGTGGCTCCCTAAAGGGACAGGGAAGGATGAGGGCTCAAGTGACAATCACTAGGGCTCAGGGTGGCTTCAAGGGTTAGGCAGGAAAACCACCTCTTCCATTAGACTGACTCAGGGGTGGTGCCATTCCCTGCCTGCCACCTTACCCGAGACCCAACTCTCTACATGTGGGAGAGCTCTGGATCATAAACAAGAAAAAGGGTCCAGAGGTTTAAAACTCCAATGCCTTCAATGTGCTTTGATGCTGCCGCTGCTGGTCCTCCAACTGTCCTGGGGTTCTCTTGGTAACGTGGGTTCTGGAAGACTACACAGCCTTGAGTATGAAAGGCGCTCAAATTACCGCCCTGGCAATAAAGCCCACATGACCGAGAACTGGGAGCGTGGTGGCCTGTGGTTGTATGCCTGAATATTTGGCTTTTTTGTTGTTGTATTTTTTTTTCTTTTGGTTTTTGAGACAGGGTCTCACTATGTAGCCCAAGCTGGCCTCGAACTCACTGCACACCCCAGGCTGTCCTCGAACTCATAGCAACCCTCCTGCCTCATCCAACTGCTGGGATTACAGACGTACACCATGCCCAGCTACGCCTACTAGGAAAAGCTGTCGGATCTAACACCTCGTGGGTAAGAACATGAGGCAGGTGAGAGGAAGATAACATAGACTGTCTATAAATCAATTTTACTAGCACCGTAATCCCGGAATAAAGAGCCAACCCTCTTACAAAACATCCAAGAGGCTCTCAGTACCTAAAAATGAATCGGTTTTCTTTTTTCCATTTTTCGAAATAGACCCATTTTTGGAAATTCACTGCCCTGCTTTCCAATGAACCTGCCTGAGCCTCCGGATAGTGAGGAGGAAAGAGACACTGACTGAAGAGGTTGAAGAGCCAGGTCTGGGGAGATGGCTGTGACCCTGATGGGCCCGGGGACCCCACGCACTGCACACCCTGCTTGCATACCTGGGGCAGAGGAATATGCTGCCGAGACACAGACCCACACAACTCAGACCTCCAGAACTCCTCCATCTTCTGCTTTAATGACATCTAAGATACTTAGATTTTAGGTTCTGAGTGCCTTAATGAGACCTAAGGTACTTAGATTTTAACTGTGCTTAACTTAAATTTTAGGTTCTAAAACACTCTCTGGTTCTACTTCATGCTCTCACCTTTAGCATTTAAGGAGAAAGAGTTGAGAGAACTCTTTTAAGTGACTCTAGCACCTGGGAGGTTCCAAAGTCATTTTTAAAGGATGAGTCATTAACATAACTGGCAAACAGATAAGAGACTATAAGATTCAGAAATCAAACACTGAAAGAACCCAGTGGTTGCCAAATCACAACACACACACACACTCACACACACACACACAGAATTAGTCATCATAAGTCCATTACAAAACATATCTCTCAGAATTGCTATAAAGACAAAAAGTCAGCTACTATAACCCTTTCTCAGTGATCTAAAGTTCACTACTCTAAATGGAGCAGTAACTACAGCAGAATGCTTCAAATTAACAAGTCAGTGTAAATTCCATCCCTGCATTTTTATCAAGGATGCATATCAAGTGAATACACTGACCTTTTGATTTCTATATATCAATGCTTAAAGTTTTATATAGTCTAAGATATGGCCATGTATCACAGAGTTCTAATGTTCTTTTTTTTTTTTT